TATAGAATTTAATTAGATACTAGAGAATAATGAAATTCTATTAGATTAAGAAAACAGAATGCCACCTTATTTCAGAAAGTGTAGCTTGAAATATCATGAAACTTATATTTTCACTTGATTCTCAATATATATACAGTATATTGGAAATACTATAGGTGATGAGAAGATAAACTTAAGTGCAGCTGGCAGGCTATTCAGGAAATATACATATTTATTTATTTTATTCAGTTTGTATACCGCCCTTCTCCTAGTGGACTCAGGGCGGTGCACAGCCAGAACTAAAACACATACCAATACAAAATTTAAAATTATTAAAAGAATTACATAACTTTGGCCCAAATTTAAAACAATTCAAATTAAAACCCATTGACAATTTAAAAGCTAAAAAACTAAAAAAGACTAAAGAAGGGGGGGGGTTCATGCCAGCCCTGCTTGATGGAAAAGAAAAGTTTTCAGGGCACGGCGAAAGACCCGGAGATCCGATATCCTTCGTATCTCCGGGGGCAAATCGTTCCAGAGGGCAGGAGCTGCCACAGAGAAGGCCCTCCCCCGGGGGTCGCCAGCCAACATTGCCTGGCTGATGGCACCCTGAGGAATCCCTCTCTGTGGGAGCGTACTGGTCGGTGGGGGCTATCGGCGGCAGAAGGCGGTCCCGCAAGTACCCAGGTCCTATGCCATGGAGCGCTTTAAAAGTGGTAACCAACACCTTGAAGTGCACCTGGAAGACCACTGGAAGCCAATGCATCTCACGCAGGAGAGGTGTCACATGGGAGCACCGCCTCGCTCCCATAATCCCCCGCGTGGCCACATTGGAGCCTCCGGGTGCTCCTCAAGGGGAGCCCCATGTAGAGAGCATTGCAGTAGTCCAGGCAGGAAGTGATAAGTGCCTGAGTGACTGTGTGTAAGGAGTCCCGATCCAGAAAGGGACGCAACTGGCGAATCAGGCGAACCTGATAAAAAGCCCCCCTGGCCACGGCCGTCATATGCTCTTCTAAAGACAGCCGTGTATCCAGGAGGATGCCCAAGTTGCGAGCCCTGTCTGTGGGGGCCAATAACTCACCCCCAATAGCCAGCGATGGCACCAGCTGGCTATATTGGGACGCTGGAAGCCACAGCCACTCAGTCTTGGAAGGGTTGAGTCGAAGCCTGTTACTCCCCATCCAGATCCGCATGGCCTCCAGGCACTAGGACATCACTTCAAGGGCATCGTTGGGATGGCCTGGGATGGAGATGTATAGCTGAGTATCATCAGCGTACTGATGGAACTCCACCCCAAAGCCACAGATGATCTCACCCAGCGGCTTCACATAAATGTTGAACAGAAGGGGCGAGAGGACTGACCCCTGAAGCACCCCACAAACAAGATGCCTCGGGGTCGATCTCTGCCCCCGCCAACACCAACTGCGACCAGTCGGAGATATAGGAGGAGAACCACCGCAGAACGGTGCCCCCCACTCCCAACCCCTCCAACCGGCGCAGCAGGATACCATGGTCAATGGTATCAAAAGCCGCTGAGAGATCTAACAGGACCAGGATAGAGAAGCAACCCCTATCCCGAGCCCTCCAGAGATCATCCACCAACGCGACCAATGCCGTTTCCGTGCTGTGCCCAGGCCTGAAGCCGGACTGGAGCGGATCCAGATAGACAGCTTCATCCAGGTACCCAAGAAGCTGTCGCGCCACCATACTCTCAACAACCTTCGCCAAGAAGGGAAGGTTGGAGACCGGATGGTAGTTAGGCAAAACAGCCGGATCCAGAGCAGGTTTCTTGAGGAGGGGCCTCACCACCGCCTCTTTCAAGGCAGATGGCAAGACACCCTCACTCAAGGAAGCATTGATAATCCCCTGGAGCCAGCCTTGCGTAACCTGCCAGGAGGCCAGCACCAGCCAGGAGAGACACGGGTCCAATGTAACTATTTTCTATGTGGTCGCGTTCAGCCACCTCAGTATCCTGTCCACGTCCTTGGGAGCAACAGGGTCGAACTCCTCCCAAATGGCAGTCTCAAGACTGGCACCCATCATCCCATCTGTACCTACCCAGTCAGAGACCAAGCCTTCCCGAATCTGAGTGATTTTATCATGCAGATACTGGACAAAATCCTCAGCACGACCCTGCAAAGGATCCTCCTGCGCTCCCAGATGGAGGAGGGAGCGGGTCACCCTAAACAGGGTGGCCGGGCAATTATCTGCCGATGTGATAAAAGCGGAAAAATAGTTACATTTTGCCACTTTTATCGCCACTAGGTAAGTCTTAATATGAGATCTTACCAGTGTTCAGTTGGATTCGGAGCGACTAGATCTCCAACTGCTCTCTAAGCATCTTTTCTGGCGCTTCATCTCCCTCAGCTCCTCGGAGAACCAAGGAGCCAGGTAGACTTGGCGACAGGTTAGAGGCCACACAGGCACGACTCGGTCCAAAGCATCAGCGGCCACCCTATCCCAGGCGGCCACCAGCTCCTCAGCCAAGCCATGAGTCAGAGCCTCAGGAAGTGGCCCAAGCTCCATCTGGAACCTATCAGGATCCATCAGGCGCCTGGGGCGGAACCATTTGGTCTGTTCCACCTCCCTGCAACAGGGTGTGGTGGTTTGAAAGTCAAGCCTAAGAAGGGAATGATCCGACCATGACAAGGGCTCAATCACTAACTCCCCTATCTCGAGATCATTCATCCACTGTCCAGAGACAAAAATCAAGTCCAGAGTGTGTCCTCCCATGTGAGTGGGTCCATGAATTAATTGGGTCAGGTCCATGGCCGTCATGGAAGCCATGAACTCCCGAGCCGCCTCAGATGCTTCGCCGACAGATGGCAGGTTAAAGTCCTCCATGACCATAAGCCTGGGGGTCTCCACCACCACCTTGGCAATCATGTTGAGGAGCTCGGGCAGGGCCGCCGACACATAACTAGAGCAGGGAGAGGAGTGAAGAAACTTTGCTGCCATGAACTTTCTGAAAGTTACTATTTTAGGATCTAAGCTACTTAAATGTAGAATTTTTATATAAAGGAGAGGATACTAATAACATAGATAACAATTGTAGGATAAACTGCATTCCAAGTTCACTGAAACTGCAATTCCAATTTCCTTTATTCAGAGATAAACTTCATTTAATTGTTTGGAACTTATTTTGATGTGGAACTAGTTGGTTGTAATACAAAGCATTTCCCCCCCCTTCTATTTAATTGTGTTGGATTCTCAGATACTGCATGGATAAGTCCTTGTAGTTTTTTTGGCAAGGTTTTTCAGAAGTGGCCTGTCACTCCTCCTTCCTAGGGCTGAAAGAAAGTGACCGACCAAGGTCACTCAATTGGCTTTGTGCCTAGAGTTTATGGGCTCCCGGTTTCTAGTCTGATGCCTTAACCATTGCACCAAAGTGGCTTTCCTAAAGCAAATTTACTTTGAAGTAAATCCTATTGAAATCAGTGGTATTTTCTTCTAACTAATCTAACTGTGAAATTCAGACAATAGGTAGACCCCACATGTTTTGAAACAGATAACCAAACACAGCATCACCACTGGAAATGATTTCCAGAGCATGGCATTCTCTTCATTATAGCTCTTTTTAAATAGATCTCTTTAATTGCTTTAGTGAAGTCACTACCCTACAAGTCAGTGGAAAAGTTCTATGTCATTCTTTCTCTTGATATTTGACATAACAGGCCTTACTTTGTCCATGAGAATGAAAGTATAAAGTATAAATTTTCCCCTATCTTTTCATTAACTACCTAAAGTCCTATTGCTAATATTAACATTACTGGTTCTTTTAGTGTTAAAGATAAAAATCTCTGTAGCTTTTAAATGTCTGAAGTAGGTTTTTATCATTAAAGTAAGGAATAAAGAAACACAACCTCATGAAATTCCTTGTTTTGAATTGTTGATTTCTTTTATATGTTTCCTTGATAATGATACTGCTGCAAGACATAACATGAGACATAAAAAATGATGTATAGGAATTTCTCTCCCAACTTGTGTTCCCGCCACTTTCATCACACCATTAGTGCTCCATTTTATTTAAATTTCAGCAGCATTCATTCCATGGGACAAAAGAAAAAAAGAAACAAAATCTCAAAATTGCAGGATGCTAAACAAATGTGGATGAAACTAGGAGATTTTTAGTAGAGGCAAATACTGCTAAAAACAAAATTGCACATTGCATTGTACAGAGTTGGGAAAAGGGAAGGGAGGAGTGGGATTTGGAAAATGGATTCTGCCCATACAAACCAGCATGTAAAAAATAATGATCCTAGATAGTCCTAATTTATCAGCCTTGTTTTGTACAGAGGCAAATTCACTTAAGCTCTGTGGCTTGAGTGAATCAGGACCATCCATTAGGACTCCACTTTATCAAATATGTATTAATATCAAGGCAGACTTGGAATGTAGAAGTCTGCCCTTTCCTACTGATAGCAGATAAAAGGCACTGTAGCATTTCAGTTTTATCTCCAAGGATCAGGTTATGGTAGTACTATTTGCACCAATACAATGTAAACAACTGAACATATCACCTCATTTCAAGAATCCACCACAGATTTGCTATAACATAGAGGAAGAAAAAGTTTATCTCAATCAGTATAGCAGAAAACACATATAAATGCAATTTACTGGTAGAAATCAGCACTTTCCTTGCTTGCTTGCTTGCTTGCTTGCTTTTATACTTACAGTATCAATGCAAAATTTCTTATATTAGAAGTAGGTTTCTGAAGTCTTGCATTGAGTAAGAGGCCCTTAAAATATTTTTTTTATGGCAGAGAAAGTGGGGTGGTAGAATTTTATTAACACTTCATAAACTATTTATAAATAGACATCACAAGGGGCAACGGAATCTTGGGAGAAATACTGCACTGATTCCATTACCAATTGTGATGTCATTTTTAAACATTTACTACAAAGAAGATACTATGTTAAATTACCATACTCTTCCTTTATTTCTGATGTACTAAACTGACAAGCAGAAATAATCTGATGCTATAATACTATTACTGTCAGTAATAGTCTGTAAGATCATTACATTTCCCTCCTCAAGTCTTGTTTTGAATTCTTCCAAATTTCTCCCATTGAGTGTAATCCTTATCTGATGTGAGACATCATAGGCATATTACGGTATTTCTGTTTTTCGTCTTTTGATTATATTCCATCCTTGATCTTCCGTCTAGCCCCTTTGAACTGCCTAGTTGTCTATCCAATTATTTGGGGGCAGGAAAAGAAAATCCTATATTGCCAGCTGTCCAAAAAAATTGAGAGTAAGGTACCAGGGGGTTGGACTAGAAGACCTCCAAGGTCCCTTCCTGTTATTCTGTTAAATCACTATGAATGAAAACAGACCAACTGCACAATGCTCCTTGCAAAAATCAATCTTTTTTTCTCTTACTTTGAGTATAGCTTCCATAGCACCACTATTTCTTCATGGGGAACTCTGCAATGACCAGTTAGGAATGAAGTTTTTGGGAGCTTCTAAATCAAGATCCAGGGTTAATGGTTTAGGTAAGTAAAAATAATTCTCACATTGACTTGATTTGTCCCAGATTTGGAATTTGTATAATACATGTCTTGCATCCAAAAATAACAAAATACTATCTCAACAGTAATCTTTCTGAGCCATAAGAATTATGTAAAGTTCTACATAGAATATCTTCTCTTTTCAGTGCTAGTTTGATAACCACACAGTATATAGAAGCAAATTTTTATATTAATATCCTTCATAGTGTAGGATACTTTCCCTTTAAAGAAGGTCTGGTACCAATGCTTGCAGCGTTTAAGTATAATGAACCAGTTTTTGTTGGTTTGGTTTGGATTGGATATCTTTTACTCTTTTTTTGTACTGTCATTTTAAAATTATGCTGTTATATACTTTGGTTTTATTTTTAGCTATCTGTATTAGCCATTTTGACTGTATTTTGATAGAAAAGCAGTGTGTTAACTTCATAGAAGACATGCTAACACTATAAGTGTTTTAACATTTAATAGAGCATGAATTTATTTGAATTAATTCATTTAGGCATGAATTTGTCAATTCTCTATTCTTTGCATAAGACTATTGCTGTTAGCAATGAAAAGAGGATAAGTGAGCTATAGTAGAAGCAAAGATATGTAGGTTAGATTACTGCAGTGCATTCTACAAAAACCATTTGAAAGCTTCATTTGGTCAAAAATGTAGCAATCTTCATATTACCTAGCACCCACCATTGAGAAAACATTAAAATTGTCATATAGGCCCTGTGCTGATTTCCTATAACATTCTAAGTGCATGCTAGTAACACATACTGTGTTAATGTTAAACTATAAAGCACTGTATGGCTTGATTCCATGTTACTTTCAGGAGTGCGATACTTACTAAAATTGGCTTGATCTTGGTAACAAGAAAATGAGAGGCAGGGGCTGATACATGGAGGCACTTATTTTTCTATAACAGTATCAGCCCTCTAGAAAGGTGTCCCATTGGAATGTATATTGGTCCAACTTTACCTGTCTTCTAGAAGCAATTGAAGATGGAAGTCTTCTGGTAAGCACTTGAGATCTGATACCTATTTTTCTGGCTTGTTTATCAGATTTTCAAATTTCTCTATTATATAGGATTTTTGTTGTTGCTTTAACATATGTATTCCTTTAAAGCCTTCAAGAATCCTATAGGATTACAGTGGGCTTTAAATATAATTAATAAATAACATATAATATTATAATATAACTAATACATAAACCTTTGTTTATTCACATTGTCAGATGTAAATGCCTTATTCTCTAATGTGTAAATAGTATATGAACGGGGTATCAGGGGTTAACTTATTCTCCACTTCTTAATGTATTCATAATTCACCACTCCCACATATAGCTCCACCCATTGTATATATAAGGAGCTACATGCACCCTTTTCCTTGCTTCTATCTGTGAATATTCAGTGAATATAGAATGCCTATTGTAAATAAAAGAAAATATATTTAAACCTTTAACTCTTACTAATCTTATTGAGTCTGATCCTGAAAATATTGCAACAAGCTGGTAGCAGAGGATGGTTAATTGACTCAATAAAAACTTAAAAATGTCTAAGAAAGATAGGCCCAACACCAGGGCCTACAGCGAAGAAATGGAAACAGAACAAGAAATAATCAACGAATCCACAAACGCAATTTCGAGAGAATCCGAAGAATACACCACTGAAGACGAAGAAATAATAGATGAAAATGATGACCAGGAGGAAATCGAGATAGAGAATAACGAACTCAGGTCAGAGATATTAAAATTATTAAAGAGCCAGAAGAATGATGAAAGCCTCATCGCGAACCTCCAAGATATGCTGAAGAACAACGGAGCAGCGAGAGAGAAAAACATCACTAATGAAAAGTCTAAAGACCCAAAAATAGTGAGTGATATGACTGCAGAGAAAATCATTGCGAAGAAGAAAAACGGTGATCCCGCGCGAAATTTTGAATGGCAGCCATCTTGGTTTCAACAGGCCTCCAAGATGAGCGAAGCAAAGCCAATCAAAAAGCTCAATTCAAAATTTCTGGCGCGAAAAACATTACCAGACAACGAAAATGAAAAAGAAGATTCAAACACCTCAGAAGAATCAGAATCAGAAAGTGAAGGTGATTCAACAAACTACCAAGTAAAATCAGCAATGAAAACGCTTTTTGCCGCATTTGGGCCAAAACTAAAAATTACTAAAAAGCTAACGAAGAAGCGAGCGAGCAAGCCAATGCCTCAAGACCTGCCCGCTCCCATCCTGACTACGAGAGCGCTGACGCCCGAACCCAGAGAGCCCTGCCGATACCGCCCTACGCCACAGACCGAAGCAAGCACCAACGCCCTCAAAAGAAGAGGAAGAACAGCCGCCGTCGTCAGGACTCCCAAAATCGAACCAGAGACCGATTCGTCCGAGGAGGAGCAGAACGAGCGAGCCGCAATGGGGAGAACCTTCCACGACGACTCCAAAGAAGAAATGGACAACGCGCATGCGCAAGACTACGCAGACGGCCCGGGAAGACATGAACTGACGAGAAGACCGCGCAGACTCGTTGCGAGCATCCCCACGCCGTTTTGCAATTTTCTGCATTTACGAGACCACAGACTACCTCAGGTTGTAAGTAATGGACCCAATAATGTCGGAAATTTACCCAGTGACTTCCCGAAGCTAAGGGTTGATGGCATTAACTTGCAAGAATGGTATCAACAGCTCCAGGTTGTCTTTATGAGGGAAAGCTTACTATTTTTTATCACTAGTCCCCCAAAAAGACCTTGGACTATAAAAATAGATTGTTTACACCATAGAGCATTTTTCTTAATAATATCTAGTGTGTCTCCTGCAATGTATCACAGCATTAAGCCAAATCTGACTGTTTCAGAAATTATTCAATGCATGTTTAATTTGTTTCACAGTGATAGTGTAGCTACCACCACAAGGATGTCTAAAGATTTCTTTTCATCTAGAATAAAACCAGGGGTTTCCATAAGTGAGCATTTAATATCTTTAAACAAAATAAGAGCTGAGCTGCATTTGAGGGGGGAGGTGATTTCAGACCAAACAATGAAAAGTGTTATTATCAACTCACTTGATCCATCATGGGACAATTTTATGTCACATTTAGACACAATCAATCTAGGATACTTATCCATAGAAAGTCTATCCAATAAATTGATAGCAGAAGACAATTCAAGAAGAAATCGTTCTAACAATCACACAGAACACAAACCATATAGGAAAGTAGCTTTCCAAGAAAAATATAATGAAACATTTAAATGTCACAATTGTGGATCCAGGGAACACAATAGAAGAGATTGCCCCAAGATTTCAAAGGAAAGACATAGGTCAGAATATAGAGACAAATACAATTATAGACAGTCTTCCATAGATAGACATAGATATAGAAGCCCACCAAATTACAAAGAGAATAGAGGGGGCAGAGATAATTCAAAGGATAGAAAATCTGGTTCACTGAATGGGTTAAATAAACAAGACAACACTAACATACAGCAAAATGAGAACAATAATTGGCTTATTGATTCTGGAGCAACCAATCACACCACTAATAACAAAAATATATTGTCTTCATTTACAGAAGATAAATTTGTAATAAAGGTAGCTAACCAAGAAAAGGTTCAAGTATTAGGTAGAGGGAATGTAACCCTGCCTGGTCTAGGAAAAATAGAGGGGGTATTGCTAATACCTGAAATACCTCATAACATACTAAGTGCCATAAAACTAAGTAGAGATTCTGACATTAACATTGTTTTTTCAAAAGGAAAAGCGACTTTAGAGAAGAATAAAATAAATATAGGCACTGTGATGATTAAAGGAGGCCTACCTTATCTGATAACAAAGGAAAAATGGCTGCATAACATTGATTCAAATATGGGAGATTGTATTGAAGTAGATGATGAAAATATTAGCAACAGTGATAATGATGAATGTAAAATATCTCATGATCACATAGATGCACACAATGAAAGAAAACCAAAAATAGGTAAGCCAATTCATGATGAGTGTGCTCACATCTTACATAGGAAGTTAGGACATGCCAGTTTTCCTGTAGTACAAAAAATGACTGAACACGCAGAAGGTGTTAAAATAAAAAATTGTGAAAACTATTTGGAATGCTCAGTATGTAAATCTACAAAACTAAAAACTAGTCCCAGGCCAAGAAAATCTACTAGATCAACTAACAAAATTTTTGATTTAGTACACATGGACTTAGTTGGTCCATTAACTCCATCAATCACTTATAGAAAACGTTACTTCTTGACAATAGTAGACGATTATAGCCGCTATGGATTTGTTTATACATTAAAACACAAAGATGAAACCTTTCAAAAATTTAAAGAATTTTACAAACGCATAGAAACACAACACAATATCAAAATAAAACAAATCATGACAGATAGGGGATGTGAATTCATGTCTAAAGAATTCTCCCAATGGTTAAAAGACAAAGGAATGTTACATTACACATCTAGTCCATTTTCTGCGTTCCAGAACGGGATTGCAGAGAGGAAGAATTCAACATTACAAACCATGATTAGATGCACATTGGAAGATGCTGGCTTAAGCAAACAATTCTGGTCAGAAGCCTTACATTATTCAAATTACACACAAAATAGAACCTGGTCCAGCATTGTAAATAAGACACCATATGAAGTGATGTATAATAGGAAACCAAAATTAGCACACATGCACATATTCGGAGTCACTGCAGACGTACACATACCTAAGCAATTAACAAGAAAGGGAGAAAACGTATCCAGAAGACTCAGATTTATGGGATATGAGACTGGCACTAAAGGGTACAGATTCATTGATAATAATAACAAATTTATAGTCTCCAGAACAGCTGTGTTCCATGAACAGGCCAACTGGTCTAAATTACATCTTAATGAAATATTTCCAAATAAATACAAAGATACAAAATCTCATGAGAAAGGGACCATAGAAAAGCAAAATATCAACAAATATAAAAACAAAACCAAAACTTGGACAAATAGCCAACACAAAA